CAAAACACGCAGAGTCAACTGACTGCCCTTATTGAGAGTGTTTGTCACTGCGCATGCTTGCTCTCCGAGGGCTCTCTTTTAGAAGGGAGTCTTCACCGGCGTTTCTCGCGGCGCTGGCCCCGCTTTCGCCGAGGCGGAGCAGTGGCTGTGCTTGTGGGGTTCGCATATGGATCCGGAGGAGGGAATGTAGACGGGTGAGTCCCTATCTTCTTCCTTAACCACCAGATCCAGCGCCCGCTCTCGTGGTTCGGAAGCCCGCGCTGCGGTTCTTTCCCCCCCGGTGAGAGGGCTCGACGCTCCGCCTGTCTTCCTCCGCGGAGGTTGATGAGGGCGTCGATGAGATCGCCAGTTGCACAAACATCAGTTACACAAGCATATTATGCCTAATATTATAATGAGCAGCTTTACTGTGGAGCGGAGCTGTTTTACAGTCGCACAAGCATTATGTCAATACGATTATAAAAACAAAAGGACTCGCGCAGTCAGCTCTCGGAAATAAGGGGCTGATTGTGCTTCTCCCCGCTGAATGCTCCGCTCCCACCGGGCATGCTCTGAGGAGTGTGTCCATGCTTGCGAGCTCGTGGTTCGGTCCCGCTATTGCCGAGGCACGGCGGCGGTTCAGATCGCAGGGATCGCACGTGGATCTAGCGGATGGGTTGGAGACGGCTCGCCCTTTCTCCGCCTGCACTCCCTAGATCCAGCGCTCTCTCTCGATGCTCGGAAGCCCACGCTGCGGTTTCTTCCCCCTCTGAGCGAGAGCTCGCTGCTGCAGCTATTTTTCTCTGAGGAGACTGATATTGTTTGTGTGACCAAGTGGCTCGCGCGCTGCCGAGGCAACGCGTGTATTACATAGTTTTCAGTTTTTGATGTGAATCTTAAATTAGTTTTATCACACCAGACCGTGTTACTCGTCTGGTTGTTTGGCTGCATTTAATTCTGAGGAATTAAATTATGTATTTATCTGACTATGGAAATTTTTGATATGAAGCTTATCACACCAGACCGTGTTTACTTGTCTGGTTGTTTGTTTGCATTTGATTCTGAGGAATAAAATGAAGTATTTATCGAACTATGAGAAGTTAGATATACAGGGGCTCTTGGGATAAAAATGTCTCGAGTGAGAGCACGTGTTTATCTCTCTTCCTCTGAGGAGGTTGAGGCGGTCAGCAGGGTCTGCTGGGCAGGAGCAGTCCCAACCTACCGTCTTCCAGCTCCTCATTCTGGGGGCATCACTTCTCGTACTCAGCAGAGTCTAGAGTCACAGTGGCGCTCCCAAGCCGAAGGCTTATAGCGGAAGGCGGTTCTACGGACCGTCATTCTCGCTGGATAGTCTCTGTCTGAAACATCCTGACGCCAAAGGCCTATAGGACTTCTGAGGGCCAGCTCCCTCTGGGGAAGAGCAGTGTACACTGCATTACACGGGGCCCGTCTCTCCAACCCTGCCAGTGTTCCAGGGCGCAGCGGTCTCCGGCGAGCGCTTCTCTCAGTTACCACCCCGGAAACGTAGCGGTGCTAAGAGGCTCGCAACATCCACGGAGGTCTCTAGAGCAGCTAGTACGGCCGTCCCCTGCCGGTTCGCCGCTTCAGGGCACCGAGCTAGCCGCTCTGATTACACCAGAGGTCAGTCTCGAGAGACTGATTCCCTTAGTATGTCACCTGGCGGTGTGGGAGCCCCTGCCAAGTGTGCCTCCTTGGGTCCTGCCCTGAGCAGGCTCTGGTTCTATCAGTCGACTCTTCCTAGCAGATGACGCGGGTCTGAGGACCGTCATTTTTAGAGAAGACTTCAGCTATGAGGGTCCTGATGCTGTGGCTCAGGACCTCGGAGGGCAGGCCCCTCTGGTGAAGAGCGGTGCACACCGCATCACACGGTGTCCGTCTCTCCTCAGTGCCCTCAGAAGATCAGTCTGCCAACCCTGCCGGCGTTCCAGGGCGCAGTGGTCTCCGGCGAGCGCTTCTCTCAGTTAACGCCCGTAAACGTAGCGGTGCTAAGATGCTCGCGACCTCCACGGAGGTCTCTAGAGCAGCTAGTAGGGCTGTCCTCTGCCGGTTCGCCGCTTCAGGGCACCCAGCTAGCCGCTCTGATTACACCAGAGGTCATTCCTTAGGTTTGCTTTTGGGGGCAAAAGCTTACCAACACCGAGTTCTTCCTTTGGCCTTGCACTCTCACCCCACACTTTCACGACTCAACCACATCGACGATTGGTTGATATTAGTTCAATCAGAGTGGATGGCAGTTCGACATCGAGATGTCGTTCTCGCTCACACGAAAAAGCTGGGGTTAAGACTTAACGCTAAGGAAAGTGTGCTTTCTCCAGTACAGAGAACCACTCATCTGGGCGTGGTGTGGGATTCGACCACGATGTAGGCACATATGTCTCCTGCTCGGATCGAGTCAATCCTTGTCGCAAGAGTGAGAGAAGGCCGGTCACTCACTGTCAAGCAGTTCCAGACTGCTGGGTCTGATGGCAGCCGCGTCCAACGTGGTTACTTTTGGCCTGCTGTACATGAGACCCCTACATTGGTGGCTTAGGACCAAGGGGTTCTCCCTGAGGGGAAACCCGCTTTGCATGCTCAAGGTCACGCGGCGGTGCCTACGTGCCTTAGACATGTGAAGGAAACCTTGGTTCTTATGTCAGGGCCTGGTGCTGGGAGCTCCTGGTCGCCGCATATGCTAGCGACAGATGCATCTTTCACCGGTTGGGAGCGGTAATGAGTGGCCGCACGGTCCGCGGCCTGTGGAGCGGCCGCCATCTCAGGTGGCGCATAAGTTGACTGGAGATGCTGGCCGTGTTTCTAGCTTTGAAACACTCCCTCCCAGGCCTAAGATATTGCTATGTGTGGGTGCGCACCAACAACACAGCAGTGGTCTTTTATATAAGTGGGGGCAGACATCCTGTCGAGGCAGGGGCCGAGGCCCAGGGAATAGATGCCTCACCCCGAGGGGTGAGGCAGACTTGGAGAGTCTTTGGCCAGGCTCAGGTGGACTTGTTTGTGACTCAGATGATATCGCACGGTCCCCTCTGGTTCTCTCTCTGACTCATCCAGCTCCACTGGGGCTGGATGCCATGGTACAGACGTGGCCGAGGCTTCGTCTGTACACCTTTCCCCCTATTGTTCTGCTCCCGGGAGTTCTGGAGAGAGTGGGCTGGAATGAGGTCAGTCGACTGCCAGTAGCCCTGTTCTGGCCGGGCCGAGTATGGTTCTCGGACCTGATTCCTCTCCTCGACGGCACTCCATGGGAGATTCCCGTCAGGAGAGATCTCCTCTCACAGGTGGAGGGCGCGTCCCCGCCCGGAGCTGTGGAAGCTGTGGGTGTGGCCTCTGAGGAGGAACAACTCATAGCTTCTGGTCTCTTAACCAAGGTTGTTGAGACCATCCTCCATCCAGAGCTCCCTCTATGAGGAAACTGTACTACTTGGTGCGGAGACCGCCAGCTCGACCCAGCTAACTGCCCGTTTGGTACAGTTCTGGAGTTCCTGCAGGCCTGTTTATCCGCAGGGTTGACACGCACCACCCTAGAGGTCTTCGTGGCGGCCATTGCGGCCTATCACGCCCCCTCTCGGTGGCCATTCAGTGGGAAGACACCCTCTTCTTACACGTTTCCTCCACGATACGCTGAGGCCGAGGCCTCCGGCCAGAGAAGCTTATGCTAAGTGGTGGATCAGGATGCTATTCCATAGCCTTGAGCCCTCTGATCTCCCCTCTCCTTCGGGGGTCATGGCTCACTCCTCAAGAAGTTGGCCTTCGGGTGGCCCCCACCTACTTTAGCCATTCCTGGCTCCCTTTTCTCTCGCCCCAGTTGTGCTCTTCCACACTAGGCAGGGATTTGCAAGTCTGGCGGCGTGGGCATTCTCGTTCCCGTAGCGTTTCGACGCAGCTCGAGTTCCTGAAGGGGAACGTCTCCAGGTTACGTATGTAACCATGGTTCCCCGAAGGGAACGAGACGCTGCGTCTCAGGGCCATACTTTCGGCATCCCTGCCAGCGCTTGCTTCACTTGTTGCACCGCACGTGCTTTTATACTTCCTGGTCGCTACGTCACCCCGCCCGTGATGTCTCGCCCATCCATTGGACTGATTACACATGTGATTTAGAGCGTGGTCACGCTGGAGGCATTCCTGTAGCGTTTCAACGCAGCGTCTCATTCCCTTCGAGGAACCATGGTTACATACGTAACCTGGAGACGTTCTCACTTATCTAGTGTACTTTTTTATTAATCATATACTGAGGCAAGAAGTTGTTTTATATAAATGGTATGTTCAAATTAGTAAGAGTGGGAATTATGTGTATAAGATTGCTGTCACTAGTAGCAGGGGGAACAAGTGGAGAACAAGTAATTACTGACTCTGTCATAATGGCTTTAGGATAATGAAAAAACCTTGTTGTTGACTCATGATGGGTTCCTTTCACCAACTCGAATCTGAAGACCTTTGTTGTTCTGAGATCCTTTACAAAAGTCACTCATACTGTAGCAAAATGAAAAAGAAGAAAACCACACTAGACATGAGGGTGAACATCTGAAGAACCAACATCTGAAGGACCAAAGAAACATTTAGTCCAATTATTATAAAGCATCCAAACAACTTATTAAAATACCTAAATTAGAAAACAAAAAAAATACAGTTCTTCTGAAATGGAAAGTATGTTTTAATTATTATTATTTTTTTTTTTTCAGTGCTCAAAGTTCTGTGGATCCTCTTTGTATGCTACTGTTTTGGGACACTAAGAAAACAAAAACTACAGCATATCTACTTTAGTGTTAAAACCAATATATAATGTAAATTTAGTTGTATTTTCTGTTTCTGCAAGGATTTGGACTAACGGGCGAGGTCAGAGTTTCCTCCCTTTAGCTACACACATTAGTCTCTGGACACTAAGACCCTACACATAATCCCCCTGCAGACCCACCTACTCAGGTGAATATAAAATCTTGACAGAATAGCTCACAGACATCAAAGCTCAGCACAGGAACATCCTGAACATCTCTACTCACTGAGACGACATGGACACAAGAGCCTCCCTCTCCATTCTGCTGCTGCTGTTTGGCGTCTCGCAGGCGTCTCCTCTCATGGTAAGATCCGGTCTAGTCTCTCCCTTAACAATCAAGTTTGCTCAAATGAGCCATTTTAAACATCTCTGTTTCTGTCACCAGGAGGAAAGGTTTGAAGGAGTGTTTGTGTCAGAGCCTGAACCTCTGGACATCACTACAAGGATTTTGGAGTCCAACAATGGTCAGGCACCTTGTAGATTTCTTGTAAATGTATCAGTGTGTTTCAGAAAATAGTGGTCAAATGTGGTCAAGATGTATAAATATGGTCAGTTATTTTATCAGTATGTTTCTCTTTAAATGCAGGATCTTCTGAAGTCTTGATTGAAGGAGATCTGGTGTTTCCCAAAACCAGAAATGCTCTTAACTGCTTTAACAACCACTGTTTCTGGAAGAAAAACTCTAACAACATAGTGGAGATCCCTTACATAGTGAGCGGTGAATTCTGTGAGTGAATCTCCTTCAATCATTGAACAAATCTATGATTCATGTAGATCTCTTTTTAAATCTGTGGCCCCTTTTGTTTACAGCCTATAATAACAAATTAGTTATCGCAAATGCCATGTCCACTTTTCACTCCAAAACCTGCATCCGCTTTGTGGCCAGATCAACTCAGAGCGACTACATCAGTATTGAGAACAAAGATGGGTGAGAACAATCATACCTTCTGGACTCTGTTTTACAACACAACTTTAAATCAGGTTGATATCTGAAAGAGATTCCTGATGCAATCTTAAGGCCCAAGATCTTGCTGAAATTAGTTGATGAGAAAGAACCAGTTCTGAGTCAGAGAATCTTGATTGAAATGGAAAGGACAAGGCCGAAGAAAGGCCTGGCACAATGCTTTGGTATCCTGAAGCGTTTTCTCACATCTTCATCTTAGCATCGACCGAACCACCGACTGGGGCGGGTCCCTGGAGCCGGGCCTTTAAGGTCGGGGAAGATCCCCGCCTCTCAAGATGGGCTTATCCAATGAGAACGTCCGGAACCTCAAGTGGGGGTTCTGAGATACAGGGCGTTTTTTATGGCCCTTTGTTGGAAAGCATGGTAATTTGTGGTATGAAGCTTGTGTAACAATTATTAAAGACTCTTAGAACACTAGTATGTTGCGTAGGTGTAAACATACAATATACATTCTCAATTAGATCATCCGAATACGAATTCATAGATACTAGACATGGTAGAGTTACTTATATGAATGAGTGGTTTATCGTAAGCATGAATAAAAATAGTCTAAAATACCACAGATTAATACAAAACAGCAATAATATACACAATGGCCTGAAGAATATGTGTGTTCATTCAAAGAAAGGTTTTCCTATGAATTAATTAGTAGAAAAGTCAATTTCTACTGTGCGTTTGTCCTGGGACATGCAGGGATTTTCCCTGCTTTAGATACTTTTGGCCAATAAACCCAGTGATATCAGCGTTGGTTGCCATGCAACAAAAGGGGCCTGTTTCGGCCTCCTGGGGTGTTACGCATTCTGGGGGGAAGGGTTCATGGGTATGACTTGTTAACTGAGGGGGTTTACAGAGTATTTGTTAAATATAAAAACAAAATATATATTGTGTGTTTGATTGGTCCAGCCGCTACAATAGTGAGCGGTGAATTCTGTGAGTGAATGTCCTTCAATCATTGAACAAATCTATGATTCATGTAGATCTCATTTGAAATCTGTGGCCCCTTTTTGTTTACAGCCTATAATAACAAATTAGTTATCGCAAATGCCATGTTCACTTTTCACTCCAAAACCTGCATCCGCTTTGTGGCCAGATCAACTCAGAGCGACTACATCAGTATTGAGAACAAAGATGGGTGAGAACAATCATACCTTCTGGACTCTGTTTTACAACACAACTTTAAATCAGGTTGATATTGTATAACGTCTCTTGTTTCTCTCCTCTCAGGTGCTACTCTTCTCTTGGCAGAACTGGTGGCAAGCAGGTGGTCTCCCTCAACAGGCAAGGCTGTGTGCATCACGGCATCTTTCAGCATGAGCTCAATCATGCCCTGGGCTTCTACCACGAGCAAA